AAAAAAAAAAAAAAAAAAAAAAAAAAAAGAAAAGAAAGAAAAAAGAAAATTAAGTCAGGGCAATGAAATAATAGACCAGAGAAGCATTTGTAGAAAGAGCAGTCAAAGAAATTCTGCAAATGTCACATTTCAGCAGAAACCTTTAAGAAATCAATATCTGATCGAAAAGCATTCCAGCCAATTCAAACGTGGTAGGGTGGAACTCTGTCTAGCATGTGTGAAGAACAGTGAAGCCAACGTGGCTAGCACAGCATGTTCAAGGGAAAGGTAGAACATGAGGTCAGAGTAGTAATGAGAACCAGATCACGTACAGCCCTCTAGGCCATTGCTAAGGACTTCACCATACTCTGATTGAACCATGGTAGCGTTTTTAGCAAAGAAGCCCTCGTACCTCTCTGATGGTTAAGCTTTGTTGTCAACTTGATTGCTTGGGAGCCACCTAGCAGATTAGTAATGCACACTTCTAGTTGTGTCTGGGTGGGTCATGGAGGCATGACCTGAGTACTATATCAAAGTCTTGGGCCACTTCTTCTGGCATCATTCCCTTACTCTGCTTCCCAATCACCGTGAAATGAGCAGCTTAGTTGTGCCATACCCTCTGCCACGATGTTCCTGCCTTGGAGCCAGCCAACCATGATTTCTGAGTCCCCCGAAACTTTATGTCAAATTAAATCTCTCCTCTTTTAAGTTGACCGTGTCCAATTTTTTTTTCCATTGGAAGAGACGACTAATACAGCCTCCTTCAGAGACCAAAGGCCCAGGTCAACCAATACATAGAGATGAACTCCTGGTTTTCCCAAAGAAAGGCTCTCTTCCCCAGCCCCAGTGAAACTAAATATCCTTTCCCTGGGCAAGAGACTCACAGAGAGCCCCCACAACTTTTCCGTATGAAAATACCAAAGGACAATATCTTCAGGAGAGACTGCGCAACAATCCTTAAAGCCTGAGTGAGATCACACCCAGCCCCAGTTGTGAGAGAGACAAAGTAATAGACCCATATATTACAGAGTGAAAGAATTAGGAAGACTATTTCTGGCAGCAGCCCACTGAATTAGCACTCAGAGTTCTGGCTGATCTATCCATGATAATGGGGGCTATGTGTGTCTCTACAGGGGATAGGAAGCTCCTCCCCAGAGACTGTTTCTAGGAACTGACTCAGCTGCTCTTGACTTGGGCTTCAGTCATGATGGAAGACTCTCCCCACTGCCTTGAAAAACATCAAGATCGACTATTCATTATGACAAGAGCATGCTCCAGTTATGAGGAAGCCTGTACTGTGCCCAAGGTCCCTACACCTCCTAAAGCCCTTGATTGCTCTCCTGCTGCCTCTCAATGCCAAAAAATGCCTTCAAAGGGAAAAGGAAGGCAGTGATCCCTACATTTGTTGTAGCACCTTGCGCAACTGATAAATCGGAGGCATTTCCCCATCTAGGAACACTACATCTACCTTACACTATCACTTCCACAGGCAATGTGAGCATTGCGTCCTGCACAGCAGGTATCGTGCAAGGTATGGGAGAGAAAGACAGAGAAACAGATATCCTGACAGTGACTCAGTGACAGTGTTCTTGTGGTCCTAGGAAAACCTTTCTCTTTCCCCTTTCCTTGTTATTTCCCACCTGACCTCAGTTGTGCCCACGCCTTCTCCCTTCACTCCTCAAGTGACTCCAAGTTTATATTCAGTTCCTCCCTTCCTCATGATCAGAGGATTGGAAACATATTACCCCTCCTCACTTGACTTCAATTTCCTAATTTGCAAATGGTGACCTTCTTATAAATTTGATTGGCAAACTGAGTTAATATATGTAGATGCGTTTGTCACGAGGTGTGGCTATAGCAATGATAGGGCTGATGCCAACAGTTATTCTGATTAGTAGTATTGTTACCATGCGCTCCTATGTGCTGCATATGACTGACGAATTGCTCTCCCTGAAGATGAGGAGTTTCTCCATAGCACTGAGGGAGGAATGGGGGGAAAATCACATCAAATGTGACATCACAGTCTTTGTTCTGGCCCTGTGAAAGAAAAGTCCATCTTGCTTTACCCAAGGAAACATCCCAGGATGCAGATATGTGACTAGTTCAGAGACCTAACTCCCTGGACAAACATTGACAACAACAGTTCTGAGACCTCTCATGCGAGACATAAATCATCAAACTGTTCAAAGATCACAAAACTAAGGACTTAGATCCCCAACCAGCTCAGAGAATCCCTATGTCTATGTAAATACCTCTTAACTGCTCAGAGACCAAAAGAATCTCTGCGTGACCCTCAGAGACTGTTTAGATACTAAAGGGCCTATAGGCTGCACCCTGGGACCAGATCCACTGATATTGAGCTCAGGGCTGCTGCTGAATCTCTAGGCCATCCAACCCTGTTGGGAAGAAGGCTCAGGTCTAACAGTTTGAGTCACCACCATGTTGTCATGAAGAAGGCAGGTTCACACCAGAGATGGGGAGGATCTTCTGGGCTGTGGGGTTCTTAGGTTGTGTACTCAGATCTGAGTCTGAGGAATGGCCATTGTCTAACCCATGCTGGTTATCTCTGATTATGGTGACTCTTGTATCCTGCCTTATGGGGCTTCAGAGTGAATCCCACAACACAGGAGTTGTTTCTGCCATCTCTTAGCACTCACTGTGGGGTACTAGATCCGGTAGAGTGAAGTCTTCTCTTTACACTATCTGTGGCAACTCTCATTAAGTCTCCTCTAAACAGCCCAGTGCTTTCCTTTAAATTCTGTTTAGTAACAGCTGTCATACCTCTTCTTTCTCCCCAAATCTTTCTCTTCATGGGCCACCAGGCTACCCTTCCACCCCGAGTCACTTTATCCCCTTCCCCCAGCCCTAGTCACTAGCCTCAGTTAAACTTTCTCATCTCCATTTTGTCCCTCAAAGAACCCCCTCAGCAACCTCTTTGTTCCCTGAAAGGTCAAAACACTGCACACTTCTCCTACATAGGGCTCTTTCACAATCAGATGAAACTCCAGGTCCAGACTGGGAATTCCCAGTAAGTGCCTCAGGGCTGTGCATGGAGAAGGGGTTCCTGAGGCAGGACCTGCCTTGAATGTGGCCTCACAAGATGGGTTGACACTGCAGGGCTGGTTCTGTGGGGACAGGGAAGAGGCGCTGGGAGGGTCTGGGGAAGGAAGAGATCAGATTATTCTGTGTGCTGTCTGCCTGGGCTTTGTTATCTGGCCCAGAATCTGCCCCACCCTAGCTCAACAACCTGAGCCAAGTACCTGCCTTCTCAGTGCCTCAGTGACCTCATCAATGACAGTTTTCCTGCAAGGGTCCTAGTGAGGATTAAATGGGATAACACAAAAGAAGCTCTGAGGATACTGCAGGCCAGATCTAGAATTACTTAAAACACAGAGCCCTGTTACAACTAAACTTCCCCTCCCCTGTGACACCTCTGGTATTGGTGCATTCATTCTAGCATCTGTTATGGTAAATTCTAGGAGGGAGGGTTCTGTCCTCCACAACTCACTCCTCTCACACTCTTAGAACGTGTGACACACAAGGGGCTTCATACTGGGTCCTGTAGATTCTCCTTCTGGTTCTTAAGCTTTAATGTGCACCAGAATCACCTAGAGGGCTTGATAAAACACCATTGCAGGGGGCTGAGGATTTAGCTCAGTGGCACCCTGCCTGCCTCACAATCGCAAGGTCCTGAGTTCGATCTCTGGTGCCACAAAAACACTATTGCAGGGCTCCACTTCCCAAAGTTTCTGATTCAGTGGGTCAGAGGTGGGCTTAAAGAATTTGTATTTCGAACTATGCTTAGCCCCACCCCCATGCCCACATGCAACCAAGTGGGATCATTCTCATGCTTTACCATATTGCTAGTGAGCTGACACTCCCGTCTTTCCCTTCTTTGCTTACTCCCAGCCCATCCAGATGAACCATCTTATTGCCAAACCCTGAAGATCTTAAAGACAACAACGACCTAAGCATCCAGTCCATTGCTGCAAAATTTCTGCCTTATGAGTGGGCAAACAAACTTTTCTTGTCCTGTACTGCTGATAGACATCCTCATGACAGTACCCATCCAAATATAAAGTTCTTACATTTTAGCCCTTGGAAT